CGGCCTGTTGTCGACACGCCGATTCCGTTCTCCAGAACCGTTGTCGCCGTGGTCTCTTACTCGATTGCCCGCGACCTAGGCGAACCTCCGAGTCGACTTACCTATTCGCGATGAAATTACCAGATATTGCTGGCTGCTTGCCCGCCCTATCTCTATCTCGCCAACTCTACTTTTCCTTTTCTATTCGCCGTCTGTTTTATGGCTCGCCAGTGTGAATTGGTCGTTTCACTCGATGAGATCGATACGCTGGCCGAGTTGTCGGGGCTTTAACGCGGTGAGGAGCAAGATGGACGAGTATCTCTTGGTTCAGGTATAATGGTGAACGCAGAGAGAGAGAGAGAGAGAAGTGAGAGTTACGATGAGGGTTGAATGGAAGTGATGATTGTACTATGTGTAATAGAAGTGTATACGGATTGAGCTTGTATGCTAATGTAATGGTAGAAGGATGGGTCGTATTTGTAATGGAGCTTAATTTTACTTCCAACTCTGATTTAAATTCATAAGATATAAATTGTGGGTAATGTTTTATCTTCTTCGAGGTGATACAATATTAACACGTTGAGATAGAGTTGAGAGACACGTTCAGATGTTTGCGGTGGGTTGATCTTTCTTTGCGTAGAGTTTATTCGGGGGAGAATTCTATTTTTGGGAGTTAAATAGGGAAACACTAACGTTGACCAAGTGAAGCCTAATTTGAAGGATAAATTTTTTTAAATTAATTTTTGCCACTGTTATTTCAACCTCTTCAGGAATTTTTCTAAAGTTACAAAAAATGATCTAATATTTCATTATATTTTTTGTAATTAAGCTGCTCTTCTTCTTAGGAGATTGCGCACATTGGGAGATTTTTCAAAAAATCTGCATTCTGTCGCAATTCTTCTATTTTCTCAAAGTACTCTAATCTTTAGGTTAGTTATAGTAGTCTATAATAAATAGCCAATAAAGACGTCATTACTATTATCACTAATCTCGGACATTGCGGAAAAATGTCCAACACATGAAGCAAGGTGTCAGAACGATCTAATTTTCCACCACTCGTTTCGCGTCTCCTTCAATCCGCGCGTTCCTTAATTTCTCGATCTGATTCGCGGCGCGGAATTCAGGGCCGGTTTCGATCTCGCCACCGTTCGATAAACACGCAAAGAAACCGCAACACGCGGCGGCACGCGACACACGTACGCTCGCGT